AACTTGTCTAGGATAGACAGGTGCTCACTTACCATTTTCTTCCCTATTTCAACTTGTGTTCCTAAATTGATTTTTGTGGTGCTGTTTTTGATAGGTTGGACTGTTTTATCCCTTGGTGTAAAGACAGATGCAAAACATGAGTTAAATAGTTCTGCTTTCTCCCTGTTGCTTGTCACCTTCTTGCCACTTTCTCCCAGCAATGGACCAGTTCTTTCCTTCACTTTTTTCTTATTTTTAACATGTTGGAAGAAGCTTTTTTTGTTATTTTTTACTTTTGTGGCAAGCCTTTCTTTCATTGTGAGTCTTAGCTTTCCTCACTTCATCTTTACAGGCTCGGGCTATTTGATGATATTCTGCCTTAATTATGTCCCCACTTTCCACTTTTTATACTTATCTTTTTTGCCTTTCCATTTGTCAGAGAGTTCTTTATGTAGCCATGCTGGTTTCTTTTGGGAGCTGTTACTTTTCTTCTTCATTGGTATTGTGCTAGACTGGGGTTTGTTAATCTCATTTTTCAAAATTTTCCAAACTTCTTGAGTCATGTTTATGGTACTATTTGTTTTTACATCTATTATGTAAGAAGCTGCCTATTAGTTGTGTAATGGCTGTGTAAGTGGCTTATGAGCTAGAGACTGGAATTCTCAGAGCTACTCATGCCACTGCTATACAGGGATTTGAATCTGGATAGTTTTTCCAATTAAAAGCTTAACCTCAATAGTGCAATCAAAGCAGAGTGGTTATTCATAATAACTCATAATGAATTCTAAGGAAATTAATATATTAAATCTTATTTCATTCTGTTTTATGAAGTTTAAAATTGGCATCTAGCATTTCATCATTCTGAAAAAGCTGAAAGAAGTGATAACGTGTCCATGGCTCATTTGCTAAACCTGCTCTTCAGGGGTGATTGCTTGCCTGAAATACAAGATAAGGCATTTCCGGTTTGGTTTCCTTCACTTTCAATTTTTGCCTAAAATAATAGTGTTGGGTCACATAACTATTTTTTCCCCTATTTTTTTTTGTAATTTGTTTTTCATGTTTTCACAGAATATGTGTGTATGCTGATAGTATCTTCTTAGATTGTAGAGTGTAAAAAAATGAAACCACACATTATTCAGTTCTTATTTTTGTTGATGTTTCAATGCTCTTAAGAGAGTCCTTGAAGCACAATGCATCTTCTTTCAAACAGGCAAGTTCCTTGATTTGATTTTTACAGCAAGTATAATCAGCTTAAAATTGGGAAGATTGTGACTTTTTCAAACCACTTGGGTTTTGGAAGGTTATGTGGTAAAGGGACATAGGTTGAGAAGGCAAAACATTGTTATTTCCATTACTACTAAAAAGAGGGTATGGGAAGCAGGGCTTCTGGATTTTTTTCTTATTCTGTAAAAATAGTTTTCTAGGTCACATGACCAGGAAAGAAAATAGGAGTGTGTGGGTTTAAAATAGAGAAGTAAGTAACATGCTAAACCATTCCCAACTGCCTATGCCTTTGGGATGCATTGGATTTTCCCCCTGGGTTTGGATTTTTTCCCCCACAGCCACTAGCTGAATTTTGTGATTTTTAAAAACTCTTTCAGTGCTCCCTCCCAATGTTTTATGGCCATTGAATAATAATCCTGTTGTTTTCTACTAGGTCTGTATGCTGCTGTCAGAGCTGCATTCAGATTATTGTAGTTCAGAGGTATAAAACCCGCAGCCCATGAGCTGGATGTGTCACACCCAGTTTAGCAAAGGGGAAAAAGTTGAGATACGTCACATGATGCCGCCGTAACACCGCGAGTTTGGCACCTCCATTGTAGTTAATCTCTTTGTCAAGTCCAATCATCAGTCAAGATTTTTCATGGAGAAATGATCACAAATTAGTTTTTATCATTATGGAAGCAACCCTAAAATCTTTGGAACAGTATTTGGTGGAACTCAACAGTGAGCACAGTATAAAACAAGGGATGCCAGTGATTAGGAATAACTCTCAGTAATATATTACATATTGAAATTTAGTTCCTTTTAAGAGAGACTGCAGATTATCTGATCTATTGATTGTGGTAGGACTGAGAAGGGATGAGAAATCTGTTTCCTTTTTCATTTATTTGGAAAATGCTGCTTGAACCTATTCACTGGGTGATTTCTCTATAAAGTAACAATTAACAGAAATATTTAGGATTCAAACGGGACTCCTCCTTCGACCTAGGTTTTCCCAAGCTTTCTTCTTTCACTTCTGTCAACTTGAATCCATAAAGATTTGAAATGAAATGCTAGGTAAGCTTACTTGACCATTGTGTGTTTTATGAGCAAAAATATGCTTGAGTCCTCCTGGAATGGCAAACAGTGTGATAAATAGATTCTGACAGCTTATTCAATGCACAGCGTTCTCCTTTTAATGAACAATATGATTGATTGTTTGCATTGTATTGCATCTTTCTGATACAGTTGTTACACATATTCCTTATGATTAATATATTGAGAAATTTAAACTTTCATTAAAGATCTGCCTCACTCTTGTCTTTAAATTTAGAGGCCTTTTTTTTTTAGTTTGGTGACCTCTTTCATCTGGTCTTAATAGATAGGCAATCACATGCATAGAGATGAGATAAGGAATAAGTTCCTAGAATGGCATCTTCCAAGAAAGAGGTCACAAAGCCTAGCAAGAAAAAGGAAGATTCCAAGAAAAGTCATGTTAAATGTTAGATGTGGTGGGAGCTGGAGATAATCAAGACCTAGAATCAACAAGACCAGTGTTATGGTAAATCTGCAATTGTAAATCATTTGAACAATAACAGGAACACCAAGGAGGAGAAATACAAAAGGTAGCAGATATGGTTACAGGTTGGATCTGAACTTGTGAGGGAAAGCTAGATCAAGACTTCAGGGAACAGTCTAGAAAAAGGCTGTGTTTGGTGAAAACACTTATTCAGTTTTTTACATACAATTGCAGCTTCCAGACTCGGGATGCTCTGATGAATGTTATGTAGTATATTCTACCAGAAGGGTCACCCCCCTACAACAAAGGGGTATCCACAGAAGAACAAAAACTTCTTCAACTAGTTTAGTTTAGGTTACTTTATTGGCATTGCACTTCATACAATGAAATTCAATGCCACCTTCAGTGTACATTATAACTATAAAAATAAAACACAAAACACACATCTTTTGCATTCTATACAATTGAATTGAAAATCCCTGATATTGCATTAATATTAATATTGCAAAATTAATTAATATTAATCTCCTCCTCCTCCTCCTCCTCCTCCTCTTTCTCATTCTTGTTCTCCTTCTTGGTGCTGCTGCTCCACATCTTGCCCCCTCCTCCCTCTATAATTTGCATATCCATAAATGTTTATTGTGTAGTTCCCCTTCAATGCCATTATTATGACCCTTTCATTTCCCCATCTTTTTAGGGCCTTTTCAATGGTATTTCCATCCCAGCAGAAAACATGACAGACGGCTGGGTGGATTGTCCCTCTTTGGGACCTGGCTGGAAGCGTCGTGAAGTCTTGCGCAAAGGTGGAACAAGGAGTGGCCATTCCGATACTTATTATATAAGGTAATTCTGTTTGGGAGCATATTGGGAAAAGGATGCTGGTATCAGTTTCTTATCCATAGGCAAAAGTGTTCAATCATTTCCAAAACATTTATTTGGAAACCTTTGAGAGTAAGAAACATTCTGGAGTTTCAAGGTTGCTCAATGTATTCAGGGCAACAATTGTCATTTTGTCTGTTTCCAAACTTTTGTTTACTTCATTCAATGAAATACCATTGTCAGTTGTTGCTATGAATTGTTGATCTTGCTTGTTTTTTCTACTTCATCTAAGGTTGTCATATATGTGAGATTTCCAGAAATTCTATAAGCAGTTAACTGGTACGAACAATATTGCGTCAGCAAGCTTAAACTCCTCTACTTTTTTGACTTAGAATGTACTAGATTGCCTCTTGATAATTATTATTCTACCTTGTTTCCCTACTCTGTATGACAGATACGCTTACCTATAGAATTGTTGTAATGATTATTGAGAGATTGCATGTATTCTACAGAAGTTCCATTATAATTATTATATGCCATATCTGCAAAGAACGCCAGGCATGTTAAAGGCAAAAGTATAGCACAATTTTTAAAAATATTTTTATTAAAGGATATAATTGCAATAATAAAGGTTAATGCAAACTAAAAGAAGAGTAGAAAAAAGTGTAAAAAGTATAAAGAAAAAAGTAAAGAATAGAAAGAAAAAAGAAAAGTAAGAACATAGTGAAGAAAAAAATAACTGTATGCAGAAGTCACATCCAACTTTTATCTCAAGTATAAAAATCTGTAAACAAAGAAAGCATTGTCTTGTCAGTTTTGCTGTCAGCAACAGTTCATTGAATATTGCCAAAAATAACATGTCTATGTTAATTGTAATCAAATAAAGAAACTTTATATTTCTTCGTATTTCTAACAATGATAATCTTTAGTCCATTCAAAGTATATCACTTGATTTCTTTTGATTATTTTTACCCCAAGATTCACTCCAGCTTTAACAAACCCTTTTTTGAAAAAACAATGTAAAATAATTATCCAGATCATTCACTTAGTTTTTTATAATTGCCTTTTGATTAAAAAAAATCAACTGATTTCTTTTGTATCTCCAAACAAACACTCTTTTCCAGGTCATTCATGTAGCCCAGGGGTAGTCAACCTTTTTATACCTACCGCCCACTTTGTATCTCTGTTAGTAGTAAAATTTTCTAACTGCCCACCGGTTCCACAGTAATGGTGATTTATAAAGTAGGGAAGTAACTTTATAAAATTTATAAACCAGAGTTACATCAAACCCCTACCGCCTACCATGAAAGCTGGANATCAACTATCCTTGCCCCCCAAGATCACATGGAAGTGTTAGTAATGCTTTACAATGCCTTGGTAGGACCACACTTGGACTATTGCATCCCTGTTTGTTGGCCATGATATAAAAAAGATGTTGAGATTCTAGAATCAGAGAAGAGCAACAAAACTGATTAGGGGACTGGAGGCAAAAACACAAAGAACGGTTGCCGGAATTGGGTATGTGTAAGGACTTGCCTCTCCTCTCTCCTCAAGAAAGCAGAACTCTTGAAACAAGTAACATCCCAAAAGGAAATTTTTATTGGGAGATAGGGATAGCAAGAAGAGTAAGGCAGGATCTGAAATTCCTGCTTAGAACCGTTAGATTAAACTTTGCAGAAACCCCTCCCCTATGTCCAGTCCGAGGTGAGCCAATCCACAGGTACTAAATTGTTGTGAGAACTCGAGCTGAGAAGGTGATAAAAATTGTTCTCTGGTGCCACTTCGTCTGTTCCTTTGGAGCAGAGACAGAACAGATGGCCTCAGGCCTATACCTCCCCCTACCTTTTCCAAGTAGTGGCGAAGTGACAGAAAGACCAGAAACAGGAAAAGGTTGTAAAGAGGCATCCTGGCCCTCTCCACCAGAATGGCAGTGTCCCAATAGGGATCTTTGGGGACCTGACAGTATGTCTAGTTTAATGAAAAGAAGGACAGGGATGACATGATAGCAGTGTTCCAATATCTAAGGAGCTGCCACAAGGAAGAGGGGACAAAATGTTTTCTAAAGCACCTGAAGGCATGACAAAAAGTAATGGATGGAAACTAATCAAGGAGAGAAGCAACTTAGAACTAAGAGATTGGACAACCATTTGTCTGAAATGGTATAGACTTCCTTCTTCAATAAAGGGTTGCACTAGAACAGGGGTGTCAAACTTGTGGCCCGTGGGCTGGATGGTACCAGATGGTTTATACAAAATAACCTCTGATGTAATATATCCTGAAACGATTCTATCTCAAATATCTAGTCAAGTTAAAGCTTTTAGTAAAAATACTATCCTGGTTCAAATTAAATGAAACCATTGTTGGATTCACTAAATCTTGTACCACAAACATAATTTGTAAATTATAATCCAAAGGTATACTATACAACCGTCATGACTAGATTTGTATATCATCACTAGCTTATAGTGCAAAGCAGGTAATTGGATATGTGCCCTATAATATGTGACATCTGAGAGGCATTTCTAATCAATGATCATGCAATGTGCAATAGCAGAGTTGGAAGGGACCTTGGAGGTCTTCTAGTCCAACCCCCTGCCTAGGCAGGAAACTCTATACCGTTTCAGACAGATGGCTATCCAA